CACTTTCTTGATGAGCGTGACTGGCGCACTGCAAGCAGAGAGCTGTATATCTCATTTCTGTTCACCTTCAGAGTACTTTAGAGCATTTGCAGTACATTCGTAAGGCAGATGTAAGTGCCGTTATGTACTGAAGCTTTGGAAACAAAACCAACGGTTCAAGAACATAAATATAAAATTGAAGAGAGCCTTGCTACGAATTTTGCTGTCTTCTCCTGTGCCTGTGGGGTAAACAGCTGCTGGCTTGATGACGCAATCGAACCGCGGTTCGGACCCAAGTAATATAATGTGAACACAGTCCAGCGGGGGAGGGGGAGGGGGGAGCAATTGAACTCGGGTTTGGACCAAGCAGTCGAACCAAGTGTGAAAGCACCCTTAAAGGAATAGTTCACCCAAAAAATGGAAATTTGCTGAAAATTTACTCGCCCTCAGGCCATTCAAGATTTAGGTGAGTTTGTTTCTTCATTGAAACAGATTTGGAGAAATTTAGCATTACATCACTTGCTCACCAATGGATCCTCTGCAGTGAATGAGTGCCGCCAGAATGAGAGTCCAAACCGCTGATAAAAACATCACCGTAATCCACATGACTCGAGTCCATTAAGTAACATCTTGTGAAGTGAAACGCTGCATGTTTGTAAGAAACAAATCCATCAAAATCCAGCTAAAATATGAGTCCATTATCCCTAAAATTGTATTCTCCAGTGAGGTCCAGAGGTCATTCCATCTTAATCAGGAGAGAAATATGCACAAAAACAGCCCAAAACAATTCTAAACAAATATGTCAGTGCATTTTGATGTGAGAGGACAACATATAATGGACTTTTTTCACTGAAGGAAGCAGACTTCTTATGGATCATGCACTCATAATTTAGCCAGAAGTGAAAGTTTAAAATGAAAACTTCTTGATGGATTTATTTCTTACAAGCACACAGCTTTTCGCTTCACAAGATGTTAATTGGTGGACTGGAGTCATGTGGATTACTTGTGGATTATTGTGATGTTTTTATCAGCTGTTTGTACTCTCATTCTGACGGCACCCATTCACTGCAGAGGATCTCCTTCAAATTTCTCCTCTTCCTGTTTGATAGTCATGTTTAGTGAATGAGTATTTTTTTTATTTGTTTAATCTAGCAAACTTTGTATCATGTGACCACTTTACTTTTGTAGAAGCCATAATTCTTATGATTTTAGGTTGATGTTGAAATATATTTTGGATGAGTACTTGATCTTATCTCCTGACCTAGAGGAGAGGTACAAAGTGCCACCACTGATTATAAAGCAGAAATGAAATAGTTATCATAATATTATGCATTGAGTCTGAAGCTGTTTAAAAACTTTGATTATATCTCATGCATTCACTTTTAAGCAAGATGGAAAAATGCCGTTTGTGCCTGGAGATGAGGAGATGATTCTGGGAGTGTCTAAGTATGGAGTTAAAGTGGCCTCATTGGACCAGTGTGTGAGTTCATTCACCTGACCCAGTGTCAACTTTTAGTGTTCGTATGAGAGATTTGGCTCTTTTTTTTTAATACATCAAATATAGGAGCATATGAAAGCATTTAGATTCATAATCACAAAATAATAATAATTCTGTGGAAACTGAAACAGAACATTACCCACTCATAATTTCACAGTACTGTAGACTGAAATAATGGCATGGCTGTGTTTCTCTCTGTATCTGATTTGCTATTGATTCTCTGTCTTCTCAGGATGTGCTTCACCGTCACCCGCTCTACCTGATTGTACGTATGCTTTGCTATGATGATGGTCTGGGTGCTGGAAAAAACCTGCTTGCGCTGAAGACCACAGATGCAGAGCAGCAGGAGTGCAGCATCTGGGTGTATCAGTGCAGCAGTGCGGTAAGACCTCAAGACAGGAAGTGTCAAGTATGATAGGCCTAGATCTGGACAGTGTAGCAGAAAAAAGTATTCAGTATTTCAGTATTTGTGTATTTGCTCTGAAATGGGTGACCATGTAAATATATATATATATATATATATATATATTTTTTTTTTTAAATGGAGGAACCATTATTTAGACCAAAAGGCTATTGTAACCAGTTTTATTTAAAAGGATTAGGGCAAAAATCTAAAAGTAAAAAAAGTAGTTGCACTTTTTTTAATCAAATTAACAAAGATTACTGATGTTAATATTCATCTATATAAAACTTTTTATATTTATATACAATGACAATGCATTATTGACATGTATTTTACTCATTTATTTTGAATACATTTATTTTAACTCAGTGATGATGAATTGTTCAGTCAGACATCTACATTAATTAGTTGAAACTGACTATTTTACATATGTATTACATATACTGTATGTCATTTATATTGATGTTTATACTATAAACATACCATATTATACAGTCCACTACCGTTCAGATGTTTTGGTTTGGTAAGCTTGCTTTTTGTTTTTGAAAGAATTTTTCATGCTCACTAAGGCAGCATTTATTTTCTCAAAAATACAATAAACAGTAATATTGTGAAATATTACATGTTTCAAATGTAACGTTAAAGACTGGAGTAATGATGCTGAAAATTCAGCTTTGCCATCAATGTCACATTATCCTTCAAAAATCATTTTAATATGCTGATTTGCTCAAGAAACATTTCTTCTTATGAATGTTGAAAAAGTTGTGCTGCTATATAAATGTTACATAAATGTAATTGCTGTCACTTTTGATCAATTTAACGCATCCTTTTTGAATACAAGTATTCATTTTGTTCAAAAACTGACCCAAACCTTTGAATTGCAGTGTGTATAGAGGACTCATCTGTGGTGTTCTGTAAATGTAACACATCATTTGTGCTCTACAGGAACAAGCCCAGGCCATCTGTAAAGTACTGTCCACCTTTTTCGACTGTGCCCTGGCCTCAGAGAAGTCCTGAGGTCTGTTTGGGAGTGTTCCTGTTCTTCCACGCTCACTCGTTCCTTCAGGAGGAGGAGGAGGAGAAGGTGCCCTTTTTAAAAGCATCTGACAGAAATGCTGGAGTTTGTCTCACTTTGATAAATGTTAATACAGCTGATCGCTCTGTTCAGCATGAAAGGGCAGCCATCTCAACCACATGTTTACACCATATACAGTAGTCCCATCATCCTCTTCTCTTAACAGCCCCACCCACCACAACCCAAAAGCCAAGTTTGAGCTGCGTCTATTTTTGTAACCTAATTTAATCTTATTTAATGTAAATATACAATAACCTCAGAGCACATTTCCCACTATGGGCCAGTGAATCTGGCATTTGTTAGGCTCTAGTGGGATTTGTGTAAACCGTGGTACATTAATGTCAGTGTGAACACAAAGATGCTGTAAAACCTAAACCCTTTGCGTCCTTTATATGTGCATGCCCCTCTTTTGTCGTCCTCCTGGTCCAGGTGGGATCAGTTGATAAGGTACAATAAATAAATGCGAACGTAATCCATTTTCATCTTGTTTTTTCCCCTCGATTCCACTAGATGGCAGTGCTTTCATCCTGTTGAATAATAGAGGAGTGTTTTTAAACTATTCATGTTTAATAATAAGAACAAAAACATCCCACAGCCCACTAATTGAGGAACATAAAACCCAAAGAAGTTTTAATAATGCAACAAATGATCACGAAATTCATTTGCAGGTATTTAATTCCAGTTTTCCCATTTATTTGTACATATATGTATATATTAGCATCAATGACGTTTATGGTAAACGGGTGAATAGAGGTTGTTTTCATCTTAGTTAAAAGTGTACTGTAACAGTCTTATCTAACAATACGTCAAAACATTATCAGTTTAGCTCTGTTTACAATTAAATATGCACAAAGCAAAGTCTACATTTATCTACAATCACAGCCGGCCAGGTGCCGACTGTATACAGTGAGCTGAACATGGATAATTACATCCCAGCACTGCCCGAGTTACAGGTCACTCTGGTCCGAGCTCAATCAAGACTAACATGACTCTAATTAAAAGTTACATAACAGACTCTATTAAGTTGCTCTGCAACCACATCAAACACTCGTGACACAAAACGCTCTGCTGTGTTACTCCTGCACACAATTACAGATGGATGAGCATTTCAAAGCTTTAGAAAGGATTAAGAGAAGTGTTGTGAGGGAAAATGACATGAGGGATTTAAAATTTTCTCTGGAATACAATTAGAGAGATGCAGAGTTATTACTGGTGCAGGGAACACCCATCTGGCCAACCAAAGCTGGGAGACTCTGGGAACATCCTCCTGGTTGGTGGAAATACATAATTCGTATCTCAAACTGACACCTTGGAATCTGTTATAAATGACTAGATTTTGGAGATCTCGAGGTAAAAACTCTATTCAATATGTTATGGTTCTGTACACTGAAGAAAGGTGAGCATCTTAAAAGGATAGTTCACCCAAAAATAAAAATGCCGTCATTTGCGCTCCTTCATATTTCAAACCTTTTTATCTTCCACAGAACCAGCCAGGATAAATATTAAAAAATGTCAAGGGTGCTTTTTCCCATAATGACAACAAACCTCTAAAAAAAAGAAAAGAAAAAAAGAACATTGTAATTTTTTGTGCTAAACTGCAAGTACCCAGAACCCATGTGTTGGGACTAAAACAACATATGGGTAAAAATGTTATTCACTCAATATCTTCCCCTTTGACCACAAATCTCATTCAAACTTGCATTTGACTTTAATGTGACATGTTGTGCCAAGTCTGACATCATTTGTTTATCAAGTTTGGTTCTCATAAAACTGGCTTGGCATGTCTTGACACAGCATATTTAAACTGAATGGGATATGAGAACCACAGGTGATGATTTTCAGTGAATAACAATTAAATAATTAATAGTTGTAAATGTAAATTCTGTCATTTACTCTCCCTCATTCCAAACCAGTATGACTTTGTGAAACACAAAATGAGATTATTATTATTATTATTCAAAATAAGTTATTTTTGTCTTTACAATAGAAGTCAATAGGCTCCAATGTTGTTTGGTTCCCACATTCTTCAAAATATCTTCTGTGTTCCATAGAATAAATAACTCATACAGGTTTGGAACGACATGAAAGTGTTTTGGTGAACAATGCATTTAAATACTGGTTTCTTCCTCACACAAAGTTACAGTGGTTACTTCATTAGATTTGGAATATAGGATTTATGGTGCACAATACCCGCAGTTCCTGTTATGAAAAAGCACTGTTTGAAAGAACATGAGGGTAAACAAATGACCATACTTTCATTTTTGGTCTATCACTTTAAGAATGAATGAGCCAGTTGATAAATGACAGTGTTCCACAGACGGCTCAAGGCAAACGGCCTGCACACTGAAGGAAGGTTTGCAAAAGATCATTCCAATCAATAAGAGCATCTAAATCAAGAACACAGAAGGACAGCTCTGAATTATAAATATCTACAGAAATAAACCTCCTTGATGCTCCGTTGCTCCACCGAATGTTCATGCAGACTGTCATGCCGCTCAAATCTCCCAGCAGGCACAGGGTCAAGATTAATTCCATTCAGTCTCCACGTCCCCTGTCCCTCAGCCAGCACAAAGCACTCTTGTGTCTGTCCGTTTCTCTGTCTCTCTCATCCACACAGTGCACTTGAGATATTTCCCATGTGTGAGCGATGGGAGGCCTATTTATACACTCAGCACTGGGGCAGGTAGTGTGAAATGGGGACATTGGAGCGCCCCCTCCAAGGGCAGACGGCTCTCGTAGCATATTCCTGGTTTAGCACCATTGACGAAGCTCAAAGTTAAAAGTGCATTTATTGCCTGTCATTCTGAATCATATCTGGTCCACAAACCAAAAACACAAAGCCTAGAAAGCTGTTATATTCCAGCGTTGCTCAAGCCAGGTGAGAGCCAGGGATTTTGGAATCTCAGTGAAGACACAAGCCTCACGATTAAGGGGACGATGATGATGATGATGATGATGGTCAGTGAGGCCACACAGAAGCAGAGAAGTGCCGTCATCGGTCTATGATCTCTGAGCTTCAGTCCATGATGAACTGCACGAATGTGACAGGAAACGCTCCTCTTCTCATTGGCTCTCCCTCAATGTGGCCCAGCTACAAAACAATCAGGAGAAAGTATGTTAAAACTGTCAGCGCCGATAGCCGTTGTACGAGTGTCCCGAGTTCGAAACCCAACTCGACCCCACCCCCCTCTCTCTCTCCCACTTTACTTCCCCCCTAAAAAAAATTTGAACAAATATAATATACATGCACTGAATTTAACTTATAAAAACACATTTACCATCTCTATTCAATTTCAATGCAATCTCTTATTCAAGCTAATCTTGTTGCTAAGCTAAAGGTATGTTTCTTAGTGGAAGCGTAGTCTCCGTAAAATAAAACTCAACTCAAATATATTTATCAACATTTGTCAAAAATATGAAATCAGGACCAGCACCGATAGCCTTGTGGGCAAGCATGCCATTGCGTTACGGGCATCCTGAGTTCGAATCCCGGCTTGAGGACCTTTCATGATCCCGCCCCCCTCTCTCTCTCCCACTTCGTTTCCTGTCATCCCTACACTGTCCTATCATAATTAAGGCAAAAAATAAATAGATAAATACATTTTTTACAACAGTATTCTTAACAACTGTCAAAAAACTGAAATGGAAATGCAGCTTGAACCCACTGAAGTATGTAAATAGCACAGAAGTCACACAGGAACACAGAGATTTGGGGATTTGGCTGTACTGCCGATGAGCCTCTGTGGAGAATGATTGACTAAACACGGCCAGTGGAAATGAAGGCAATTTGGTTGGAAAACAAGCAGCTGGTCTGTAGTCAGCCAGAGACACTGAACCCTCAACTGAGTTTACTTATTAACAACCAGCCAGTCACAAGAAGGGAAATATGGTCAACTAACTTTTCCTCTCTGGTTTCCTCGCTCTTAAAAGGGTTAGTTCACCCAAAAATGAAAATTAACCTGTGGTTTTCTCCCCCTCAACGCATCCTAGGTGTATGTGACTTTCTTCTTTCAGACGAATTCAATCGG